ACGTGACTTCGCGCAGCGCGTAGTCCCGATCCGGATGATCTCGTTCGTGAAGTCATATAATTACGGAGCACGATCAAAAGATGTGGAACGTCGCGCGAAAAAGCGCGCGTGACCGACTCGCCGTTGTCGTCCTCATCATCGTCGAAAGAAAAGAAAGTGACCGTATGAGCGCTTATCTCGTCGTTCGATGGATAAAAAAAGAAGGCGGTCGACTACGAGTTTTCGCCGGTTGCCACGTTGCCGAAAAACAGCCTGGCAGGACCAGCTCCGATTACTCAGAGATACTCCTTAATGATATTCAAGCATTTCGTATCGAGCTGTTTGTCGGCTCAAATTCTACTTTTTCTTTCTTTTATCGATACAGCTCAATATTGTTACTTCATGCGCAGGTGCAATAAATTTTATTACAATTATAAAATTATTAAAACACACACACATATATATATATACAATATATAATGGAAAAAAGTAGAAGAAAATAAATAATTATAAATACAAAGCGAATATATGAGGAGCAGACTTTCAAAATGCGTTTTGTCCAAAATTTGTAATTTTCAGAAAACGAGAAAGAAAGAAATTCCGCACACAAGAAAGTTACGTACTTTACAGAAAATAACAATATGCCAATTAGTAGGATGTGAAATATTGAACAAAATTGTTAAACAATTGCTAAAAATGTTAAACAAATGCATTTTGTTTGTCTCTAGTTAAAAACATAATGCACTTTGAAATGTCTATGTTTTTTCAGCATATAAATTAACGATGAAAAAATGCTTTTGAACATCTCAAAGTAGCTTATAATAGTCTTTCAACGCTGAATAGGTACTCCGCCATCTCTAATTAAAAAAATGAAATTTTGGACGAAATGCATTTTGAAAGTCTACTCCTCATATATAGAATTATGTATATATAACATTATTAAAGAAAGATTTAAAAAATCGTGTAAAGAAAAAAAATTAGAAACAAATTGGAGGGCTTGTTGCAGTGGTTACATTTAACAACGGAATAAATGAAATCTAAAGTAATATTGATACTTTTCCTATCACTTTAGAGTTCATTTACTCCGTTTTTACTAAATGAGGTAGCTCACTGTTACAGTAAACTTTTCAATTAATGGCATTTATATTTATCATACGTAAATTCAATAAATTTTAGCAGTTATTTGCAAGTTTAAATATTGAAAACCGGATTATTCGAATGATAATTCCGAATTATCTACGTTTGTGTAATTAATTTATAATAATTTCATATAGTTTGGAAGTTTTTTGGATATTCGCAGCCTTAGACTGAAGGACGTCTGGTAGATTTCGATTGGCAACGTCAATGAAGCCAATTATTATTTCGACATCTTATTCGCGGACGGAGTAGCAATTTGCGGTCGTAAAAAAAGAGAATCATACACGCAGGCAATGTTCACGATCGTGTCAGTTCACTCGCGCTGTCTCGCTTTCATGGCGCGTTGAAAAATGTACATCCACGACTCGAATAATACATAAATAATTTAATGCGCGGGTCTTTTAGAGCCAACGGAATGCGTCAGTATTGTAAGGATACACATAATGACGCTATTCGTCATATCGCACGATTTATATATTCGGATACAAAAAAGCTGGATGCGATAATAATTGCCGATTTTATGGAAGATGATTCGGAACAACGCGAAAAATGACGAGAATAAACGAATCTTTAAACTATCATCGTTGAAATACGCTCTATATTTGACGCAAAAAGTTTGGTACAGACAGGATGTCAATCTGCCGCTCGGTACACTGAAAAAAATTTACTAAATTTTAATATGTATGTATTTTTTTTTTAATAGTACTGTAAGTAAACATTTGCGAAAATTAACTTAATTATAGTGTTTTGGAAAGCTCTCGAGCTGAGCTATAAGAATGTGCAATGAGAAATAAAGGGTTCCATTTAAAAAATTAAAGGTGACCTTCACGTGACCTTCAGAGGACTATCCAAGGTCAAATCGATGGCACCATCTTATGTCCCCCTTCGAGTCAAACAACTTTTGTTTGAAACATTTTTGTCTACTGGGTTTAGTTTTCGAGATATTTGGCTGGATCATTTAAAATGGGACACCCTGTATATAGATACCTACAAAATAACATCTTTAACGTCAAAATAATGTCAAAATGATAACAAAGAACGTCAGCTTGTTTGCTAGGAAATTCTTCCGGGTACAAGTTGGCGATTCCAAATGGAATCCACAAACCGCCGCAGCCGAAAGGCTTAAAGACGACGTTATGTTTCTTCGAGGAAGCGCGAGAGTCTCTTCGCGTCTCTCACGGATCTCGAGTTCGCTCATCTCTTGTCTCGTAGTACGTCAAGGACTCGGGAGTGCAAACCAGGACGAACTCGCGTTCGTCCGTGTTTCTGGTATGTCGTATTGCGTCGCATGTTACATGTGTACGTGCATGCGTATGTGCATGCGTTCCACGTGACGCAATCGGATGCCAACGGTTGCAGCAGATCCCGGCATGCTCGTGTTTCGCGGATGCTACCGGCTAACGGTCGCTGATACGCAAAGTCAGACACATACGCACGCACACACGTGCAAACAAGCAGATACCAAGCCAGAAGCGGTGCCTAGAATGACGTCAAGCGCGGTGAATGGATTTCAGTCTCAAGAATTTAGCTTATCGGTCCGACCGGAAGAGGCGCAAGCTACCGATCACGGAAATCCCTTAAAAAGTCAATCGATAACGAGACAAAGAATTTTCATCAGAGAATAATATTGAAGAGATTAGATTATTAAATTAATTTAAATTTTTCTATGAGACGGAGAGGAGAGAAAAGAATTTTCTGAATAAAATTAAAATACAAGTTGTATTTTACATCTATTGTACATTTTTCAAGCAATTTGATATTCAGTTTTTTTTTTCACACATTTGATGAAGTCACAATCGATGATATTCGTGTCGTTCAAAGAAGTAAAAAATTTATATTTTAACATTTTGGATATACTGAAAGTTTAAATTTGTTGAAAGAAGATAGTTTCTCCATAAAAAAATAATTCAGCTAAATTAAACTTCGTCTTCCTCATAAATACAGAAAGATCTGCGATTTTACTTTCTGTTAGTTTTCCCATAGCAAGCCACAGAAAAGGATGTTTTGATGTAGTCTATCGTAAATCAGGCAAATACACGGGGATAGAACATCCACAGATTCGGGGTCTTTTCGCGTGTGTTTACAAGAATTATAAGTGAAGAATACGTTACTCGCGGTTGCCATGACACCACTCTTCGTCAGGTTAATACTGACACGATGTACGGCGTCGCCAAGTTTCATGCTGTCAGAACCAAAATCACGTAGTTCGGCCGTACATAAGTCGGGCGTAAAATCTGGAATGCCCAGCCCGTCTAACAGTTCATATATTGGCAAGTCATGCTCGATCGTGATATTCGTTAAAAATGGAAACACCGTGTCCATTTGTTGTGGTAACCCATACTTCAGCAAATTGCGAAGTTCTCGAGATCCTTCCTCAGTCGTTAGTTGTTCTACCAATTTCATCAGTTTTTTAGTATCCATCACACCATTTTCGAACTCCGACTGGTTAATTGGTGGATAGAAGAAAAACGTTGATATCGTCCTTTCTTTGCAAGGCACCTCTATAACAAATGCGTCTAGCTGCTCAGTTTTGTCTAGAAAGAGAAACATTAAAATTTTAGGAATAAATCACATTTCTCAAAAAACGAGAAGCAATTTTTGTAATTTTGAATTCATTAAATCATTGAAAGTATAAGAAAGACATTAGAAACGTGTTTTTGCATATGTTTTCTATCTATATGAAAATGTTTTATGATAAAATAATACAAATTTTTTGTTTATATGATTAATTTAGAAATTGTAATATTGAAGTTAATGATAAATGAATAAAATTAAGTGATCATTATTGAAATTTGTGTTCTTACAGATAACCTGTTTGGCTATGCCTGTATCCAATTGATTTATGATACCAAAATCATCATAACTATCGTCAAATTGACCCTTAAAGTAGATCGTATTGAACATGATTATTTCAGTATTGTTATCGATACTGTTCGGTGGTAGCAGGTTTTGTATGCAGCTTTGCGTCGTGCATGTAACAATATTATTAACGAAATTCCTTACACGGTCGGGATGGATATTGAAATCGTATTCCTTCACCGAATTGGAAGCTGACAATAAATTCATTGTCTCGACGAACAACCCTTTTGAGTTATTAATTATAACTTTATAGTAAATTCGACACGTATAGGAGTTCGCAGACAATCCATTTCTCTGAAATAAAAATAAAGAGATTATATGATTTTCTCTCTCTCTCTCCCCTTCCCGCTCTTTCTTCCCTCTTTCCTCTTTCTTTAAGAATATTAAAAATAATAACCAATAAATATTAAAGAAAATAACCAATAAATATTCGTCACATCTTTCATTATATATAAGTTACCGTAAATAAGTTACCATTAAATTTATTCATTAATTAAAAGTTTTATAGTTTTATACATCCAAAAACGCCAGCGAAATATTTTCGCGTACTCTTTATATGACAGTGCTAATCACACTGGAGATAATTACTCACTGCGTAACAAAAGTGATAGACTCCTCCTTCATTGCTATAATAGTCTTCAATATTGTATTTAGATTATATGCTAGCAGGAATATGGAGAACCCGTCTAAGAGTAAATTCCAAATCGTAGAGAGCACCGAAATATACCAAGAGTAGATTGTGATATAAGAGATGCGGGCTAAAAAAACAATTAGTTTTCGGCTCCATCATGCTACACTTCTTCAGGCATTCAAGGGTGAATTTGAAACGAGCGTCTTCTAACATCTTTAAAAAAAAAAATTAAAATTTTCTATAAAATTTAGTCTGTAAGAAAAATTATATATCCCACGTAGAAATGTTAAAACGGTCCAATTATGGGCCAGTACTGTTTGCCATCGCGCTAGTACTGGCAGCCAATGTTGGGCCAGCATAGATTTAACACAGGAGTGTAACGCTACGCCGTGCTTCATTGCCATAGCTTGGCCTGTTTCGCAGCCAATATTGGCCCACGTATGGCCCGGCTGTTAGCCAGAACTCGGTCTAGCAGCCAGAGCTTGGCCTGTTTTCCAACCAGTATTGGTCCGCATGCGGCCCGTTTGTCATTCAGTACTGGGACAAGATTATCTGCTGATACTGGCGTAGCGTTACACTCTTGTGTTAAATCTGTACTGGTCCAACATTGGCTACCGACACTGAACCAATGTTCGGCCAGTTAAATAATGTTGGCAATTTCTACGTGGGATATATATTTTTTAAATATCATAAAACCAAATTGAGAGAAATAAAAGATTATAATATTAAGTCACAATTAATATTATATAGTGAATTAGAGAATTAGCAAAAATATGTTTTATATACATATAATGTTATAGGCATTTCACCGGGTTTGCTAGGATTAGAAATTTAGTATACCTTTGATATAATCCTTAGGCTATCGACGCAGTCCCAATACAAATTAAAATTGTCGATCAACAGGCCAAAAAGTTTATTTAAATCAGCGAAAGTGTCAACAAAATATAATATGGTTGTCCAATTCAGTTTGTACCATAAATGATGAAATGATCTTTCCAAATCTGATGATAGAATACAACAGGATCAATAACATATAAGCAGTCAAGATTAATCAGTAGTGTTATTTATGTGTATTAACGCGATTTGACGAAAATACGGCAGCCACATAAAAGCTTTAAATAAAGCGCGAAGTCTTGTAAACAGACTTTATTTATTGTTTACATAATCTAGCTATAATACCAATGAGCATTATGTTATCAGAAAGAACTTTTCAGAGCTCATATTGAAATTAGAATGTCTGAAATATAATCTTGAAGATAATATGTGATATCAATAAGTTGTTTAACGCATCGATTTTAGAAGAAAATAAGTGTCCTCTTTTTTTTTAAATTACATGACATCTAAAAGAATTCCTAAATCTAATCTCATAGATATCAAGAAAATGTTTGCATTAAGAGATGCTACATATCACATAGATCCCTGAACTAATTTTTACATAAAATTAAATGAAATTCTATTATCAAAATACATCTTATTTGTTTTTATCATGAAACCCTATTTGAAAGTTTGAAAAATCATTTCATTAGAACGGATTAAAGATCTCGTAATATTACCCTGTATGTTTTTTACTTACAAGAAACAGTATTTCGCTGCACACACTATCTGATGCTGCGTGATTGCTAAGCATTTATAAATAGATATCATGAACTTTTTTAGAAGATACTTTACCGAATAATTTTTTAATATTTTAATGAGGTTTTTAAAGAATTATCTTGAAGAATCTTCTTTTCAACAATGCTCACTAGGCATTTTCTGCGTTAATTATGCTTTGAATTTATAATTAAATTGACGATTTATCTTTATATTCACTATATTTTTTTTTTCGTGTCGCTGACGAATTATTATAATTAAAGTGAGTTGAATAATATTTAATTATAGTTACACATATCATGTTATAACATGACATAATTCAAAAATTGTTATTTTTTAGTTGCTTGCAGAAAAAATAGGTACATAAAGAAAAAAAAGAAAAAAACGCACTTTAAAAGTACATATTTTTATTATTCCACAATCAGTTATTACGTCAAAATTAATATTACAAAAATTTAATGATTTAAGATATTCGAACTTATTTTCCGAAAAATTCAGTTTTATTTTAGTTGTGTCGTTGTAGAAAATGAGCGATATATATGCCTAAAAATATTTTTATTAACTTTTTTCGTAAATTTCCGCATGTAACAAACGCGATTATTTTTAAAATGTGCTCTACATCTCGAGAAAATTTTTCGGAAGATGTCAATCTGTCTTTCTTTATTGTCTTATTTAATCCCGAAATTGCGACTAAAATCAATATAATTTCATCAATTAATATTTGATAAATTATATGATTTTTTATCTTTCATCAAACAAATTAACTAAAGCAAAGTAAAATAAAAATGTGAAGCTTTATCATTATTTAAATTTTAATATACTTTCATATATGTACTATTTATTTCTTTACAGAAGTTATTTATTTGTGTAGAAGTAATTCTTCTTTTTTCATTTAACAAATTTTTCATATTTTATATTTTAATTCCTATATTCAAAAAGTTTGAAACGTTTATTTTCTTTTGTTCCAATTTATTTCTTTACAACAATGAGGGGGAATCACAACATTTACTAAAACAAATACAACAAATACTTTATAATTTTTATATTACTTAACAAATAATTAAGTATCGTTGATTCTTACAAAACTGACCATACCGTTTCTTCATAAGATATTAATGACCGCATTATATTTGTGCATCATATATATTATTTATATGTCGACATATATATACATGTATATACATGTATATACATATATAAGCATTTCAACACGTGATATCATAACCTCACTTATTTTACCTTTTCGGTGAAAATTCGCGTGTCAACAGCGTGCATACGAGACTTGATTAGCCAATTCTTAAGTCGTAATTTACAAAAGGATGATGACTATATAATGATGTTTCTTACATATATTTTTGCAGATTCGGAGATTTTGTGTTACAATACCTCTGTTGATGCCGGTTCGCGCTGCTCTCTCTACATTCTTTAGGAATGAATCTCCCTCCAAAAAATTTAAAGAGTGCACGGAGAGCTGCACTAAAGACACTCTTCTTAAGCATATTACATTTCCAAGTTATTGATTATAAAATTAATCAATCCAGTCATTATTCCGACACGTATTCAATTATTCTTTGGTTCAAGGAGTTCATAGATACCCGGTTTGTCCTGCCGCATGTACATTTTATTATAAATATCTCTTTATTATATAATCTATTTATAATTACTTTAGTATTAAACCAAATTATATATATATATATATAAACCAGTTATCGATTCGTTTTTCAGTTTTTCAATCGCCGATTCTTAAAATATTGTCACGATAAGCATGGGATAGATGAGAGAACGTAGTTTTTCATTATAATTATTCAAAACGTAATTGACCAAGAGACACGTGGAAGAAATCTGAAAATATACGAACGGAAACGTGAGAAACTGAATAATATAAACAAAAATTTATGGAAATGAGAAGTGACTGGTCCGTTAAATCTTTCTTGGTAGGCAATTCCAAACGGAATCGTAAGTAATCGAAAGGTTTTATAAAATTTATCTAGACAAACTTGCATAGCTACATAATCTACGCATAAAATTATTCAATCGCATTTCTATCATAAGGACGCAATTAAAATGCAAGTTTTCTTTATGCATATATGACGTCATGTTTCGAGGAAGAGCGAGTCTCTTTGCATCCCTCATGAATTGTTTTTCTTTTTCTCATTGTTTCGTAGTACGTCAATGATTCACAGGAGCTCGATCCAAACGAATTCGCATTCGTACATGTGTATGTACGTACATGCGTTCGACATGACACAATTGGATGTCAACGGCTGCAGCAGATCCTGCTATGCTATTGTTTCTTGGACGCTGCCAGCTAACTATCGTTGATGCGCAACGACTTGTTCTTTTTAGCTGCACTGAATCTGCACTGATTGTGAGTATTCGTTATTTCCAAAGCACAATTGTACAATCATTTTATTTTGAGTGCACGAATTGTAACATAGTTCAGTTGAAAAGAGTAGACCTAAAATTAGACACGCACACGTGCATACGACACAGCAAGCAGGTACCAAACCAGAATGACGTCAAATCCGGTGAATGGATTTCAGCTTTGAGAATCTAGCTTACCGATTCGACCGAAAGAGGCGCAAGCTACTGATCGTTGAAAGTCAATCGATAACAAAAGAAAGGGCCCGTATTTAATGCGCTTTTATCGATAAATGCATTCTTTTATTTTTTAAATTTTATATGGAACATGAACTACATGCACTAAATATATCCTAACATAAAAAGCATGTTCTGAATACGGATCAAAGAATTTTCGTGCACTGTAACAACTCGATAATTACAAAAAGTTTAGATTAAATTAATCTAAATATTTCTATTGGAACAATTACAAAAGGTGAAAAAAAATTTTCTGATTGTATTTTAATTTACACTTTATTTTATTTACATTTCTGCAAACGTACAGTTGATAAAGTCGTAATTCGTGTTACCTAGACAACCCCCACCTGTCTAAAGTCAGTATTTATAATCCGTTCTTATTTTAAGATTACTTTAAATAATATCGTAAGATCCTAGTACGGTTCTGTGATTGGTTTATAACATCTCAAGACTGTATTGAGTTGAGAACATCTTAAATATAAAAACTGAATACGATTACCAGTCTGTGAAGATCTTTATGAAGATAAAAAAAAGCGATAAACTTATACCTGAACAAACCCAAAAGTTATCGAACCCCAACAGCGCAAAAGTTGTAACAATATTGTAGCAATATTGCTTCAACTTTTGTGCTGTCGGGATTTACATTAAAAAAATTTTAATGAAACTATATGATGAGTTGAATTGCAATACTTGTGCTTTAATTTCCTTATTTTTCTCGTAACCATAAATGATATAAAAAAATAGTTTAGACAAAATAAGAGATTTGTGAAAATCTCTTAAAGAAATCGAGCAATAGTTACAGAAAAAATTTTTATTCAACTTGAGATTTGGGAAAATCATTAAATGAAGATGAATATTTCTATCGGAAAAAGAAGACAGAAAATAATTTTTGGAATAAAACTATTATGTTTTAATATATTTTTTCAAGCATATAGTTGAAAATGTCACGCTAGATAAAATTGATGTTATATAAACAATTCAGAGATGTATATTTTAATATCTTTTATTTTTTTTAAATACTAGAAAATATTTAAATTGCTAACATTTAAACAGCAGAAAATTTCTTTACAAAGATAATTAAAGATATATTGGACCCATTTTGAAAATATTTAAAAAATTATGATTTTTGATGAATAGATTGTTTTGTATTGCATTTAAAAATAGTACAAAAAATTTAACGGCGATTTTCTAAATAAATAAAGAATTATTTTAATAAAAGTAGATATGTGCTCTAATAAAAATATAATTAAGAAATAATTTAAAAAATTGGAATTTTTTCATGTAAGTACTTTATATATACATATATTTAAGATGACTTTATAATACAAGATAGAGCACCTGAAACAAAACACCTCGAAATATCTCGAAAATTAAATACGGTAGGGAAAAATGTTTCAGACAAAAGTTGTATGATTTGAAGGGGGACAAATAATGTTGAAATCATTTTTCAAAAAATCGATTTTTCAAGGTCACATGGAGGCCATTTTTTTTAATGGAATCGTATTGTGTAAAAAAATCATACCATTTCATTTAAAAAAGTGGAAGTAACTGTGTTTAATTTTCGAGAATATTCTGGTGTTTTGTTTTAGGTGCCCACCCTGTATAATAAAAAGTTTCGTTGTTATGCAGAGATTAGTTGTTCTATGAATAAAAAAAATTATTTTACTTATTTATTTACAAAAAATAAATAAACAGACAATCACAATGAAATTTTATATTCGTCTCGAACACTTAAAGTACTTGCACAAAAAAATTTTCTTAATGTTGTATGAAAAATAATTTAATAACAAATATAGACTGTAAACCTATTACTTTTAATAACAGATAGGCTATAATAAATTATGAAAATATGTAATTATAAATAAAAATATAATCTTCTATTCACAACTTTTTCATATATAATATAGGTATACAGTTTATTTGAAGTGTATAAATATTAAACATTTTTCCAAATTTAATTTACCTTGTAGGAATTGTACGTCCAATACATCCTTAATTTAATGTCACTTAAACTAAAGTGTGTTTTAAACTAGGGCTCTAATTTTATTCCGCTTTTCGAAGATACATGTAAACGTAAAACGTTTATCCGTTTATATTCGCTTTCAAAAAAACGTTTACTTGAAGGTAAACGTTTACATGTTTAATTAGCACGTTTAATTAGCTAATTATACATGTAAACGTGTTTTCGTTTAAACGTATAATAGTTAATTACACGTATATTCGGAAAAACGTTTCTAATAAATGGATATACTAATTATACATGTAAACGTATTTTCGTTTAAACGTATAATAGCGAGCCCTATTTTAAACTAAAGTGTGTTTTCGTATCTTACATTCTGAAGTATCTGCGACTCTACTTTCGTCAACTTTAGAGAATAAGACGCCACAGAAAAGAATATTGCGACGGGATCTATCGTAAATCAAACAAATACACGGAAAAGGCACATCCATAATGCATTTTATCCGAAAATGTCGCCAAAAATTATTGGTGAATAATGCGTTACTTGCGGCCGCGATGATACTGTCTCCCTGCATCTTAATGTTGACTCGATGCACGGCATTACCAAGTTTCACATTGCTTTGAAAAGTGAACCCGGATAGATCTACCTCTTCGCTACCGAATGGCGTAAGGTCTCGAACGCCTAGCATCTCTAATAGTTCGCAAATTCGCATGTCTTGTTCGAACTCGAATGTCGGAAATATGTAAGATTGTTTCTGTACCCCATCGTCCAACAGTTTCCGAAGAATCTGACATCCTTCCTCGGTTAGCAGCCGTTCTATTAATTGGATAACTGTATCATTTTTTACGGAACAATTTTCGTCACATTCTAAATAATGTAATGGATTGAGAAAGAATACTGATATGTTATTTTGATCAAGAGGTAATTCAGTGATATATGCGTTTAGCTGTTCAGACTTGCCTGAAAAAAAAATAGATAAACTTACTATTAGATACATATATTACATTAGATCACTAATACCTAGTAAATTCACGGTAAAATTCTGTTAGTTTCTCATACATATTTATTGTGGGATATAAAATATCATATATATACAAGGTATTTAAGAATATTTTGAAAAATGAAGAACATTTTGAAATATGCAGCGTGCAGTAAGTAAGTATATACGCCATTTAATGCAAATAAAAGGTAATGCCTTTAATTAATATTAAATAAAAATATTAAATTATACAAATGATGTGTTGCATACTTGGTAATACTTGTTGCATGTGTTGAAATTTTACATTTTGCATCTGATGCTTATCCCACACTAAATATAGCGGCATGGCTTTATTATAAATGCTGCTGTTAGTGTTGTAGTAATATATAGAAGTTTGTGAAAAGAGTATTAAAATTAGAAACAAAGAAAAATTAATATTTATATCAAAGATTTTCAAAATGTTTTTCATGTTCCTTCGAAGCTATTTTTATAATTTCGATCCAATCGTAGAAAATATAAAAATATAAAAAATACATATTAGAAACACGATTTTTCTTCATTTCTTACATTTCTTATAATATATAAAGTAGACTATTAAATTTTGGATTTAAAATTTAGAAATTATTACAGCTAATGATAAATTTATAAAATGATATTAAAGTGATTAGTGACCATTACCGAAAATGTTCTTAAAATTTCTGTCGTTGTTAGTGTTCTTGCAATTACTGTTGTCGGATTCGATATCAGAATCGAAATTTAATTGGCCTTCTAAGTAAATCGATTTTATCAGAAGTACATCAGTGTTGCTATCGATACTTTTCGGTGGTAGCAGATTTCGTATGCAGCCTTGCGTTACGGATTTAACAACGGCATTGATAAAATTTATTGTATTCCCAGTATCATGATCGAATTTGGTGTTTTTTATTATCTGATGACCAGACATAAATAACTCAAATGCCTTCTGCCTTAGTATATGAATATCATTAATGTAAAATAAGCTGTAGGTTTTACATATATAGGAAGGTCCATTAATCTGAAACGAAAAAAATATAAAATTATGATATTATGTAAGATTCTCCCTCTCTGTCATTTTTGTCTACCTTTCTAAGACGACAAATGTTCCTTACATTTTACATTATAAGTTATTTTGATTGAATTTATTTATTAAGAAGGATGCTCACGGTATAGGGAGATTTTTGCCCTAGAGATGGAACCTCTGAAACCGATAAATTCATTTAGAGTATGATGAAATCTATTGCCCAATATACCAAATTCCACTTTCTTATCGACAAGGAAAGTTGAAAAAATCATGTTTGAAGTTTTACGTAGTGACGACGCGGTGGCGAGAGAGGCAGTCGTCGTCACTACGTAAAACTTCAAACATAATTTTTTCAACTTTCTTTGCCGAAAAGAAAGTGGAATTTGTTATTGGGCGATAGATTTCATCATACTTTAAATGATTTTATCGGTTTCAGAGATTCCATCTCTAGGGCAGACACCTCCCTATACCGTGTGGGCATCCTCCTTTTTTTAGAATTTTAAGAATCTGCAACTTTAGTGATAAACCGCATACTTATACTTTTGTATATTTTGTACAACGACGCCAAGCACCTGAAAAATTACTCACTCTATAACATAATTGATCGCACTCAGACTTATATCGTAGTTCAAAATCATTTTTAGAGATGTTATCGGGAATATAAAGAATCTGTCTAAGAGAATTTTCAATATCTCCGTTAGCTGCGAAATACACACACATTAGGTTCTGATATATGAGATTCGGGCTAAAGAAAATGCTTTCTTTTGGCTCCATCAACATACACTTCTTCAGACTTTCAAGGGCAAATTTGAAGCAAATATCTGTCAACATCTTTAAAAAAAATTAAATGAAAATTGTTCACCAGTCTTTATATATAAAAAGTTATATTTCTAAAATCATTTAAAATTGGAAATTCAAGGAAATAAGAGACCACAAATAATAAATCACAACTAATATTATATGTGTGCTGCAGCAAAATATTGTAGTGCTTTTTATTAGTTTTTCAGGAGAAAGGAAGAGAACTTATTTTCTTGAAATCTATCACTTAAAAAATTCTACACAAAATTGTCTTAATAACTAAAGGTATGAACAATCTGCAAAAATTTTTAATGAAGTAATTCTAATTTGAGAAGAAATATTGTTTTAAAATGATTAAAATTTCAAAACATTGCAAATTGAAGTAAAATGCAAATCGAAACGTTGTAAGTCTTGTATTACTTACATTAAGCCTTGTGTCGACGTCACTAGAAATCGGTCCCGGCTCTCGATTCGAATTGTCGAATAGAAATAATTGTACTCTGATGACTCTAGACCGCGTGTGATCGAAAGTATGACTTGGCAAATGTAATTTATTTATTTGTTTGCTCGTTTAGCTAGCCGTTGCTTCTTATTTTACTATTATTTATTTATTTACTTTAATTTAAAGGTTATTTAAAAATACATACATTTCTATCACGTTGTTCAATATTCAATATCATATTAAGAAGCAATTAAACTAACAGTAGTGAGTTAAATCAATATGAAATATTTAATAACTGGAATTTAATAACTATTATTTAATAACTAGAACGGAAAAACAGGACAGGATGCATTTTAAGTACAAGATTTTTATACGAGATATTCATCCGAGTTGCTGTGTTCATGATCTGAATTTTATAAATAATTTTTTCTTGAATCAAGAATTCGGACCGATTTCTAGCATCGCGTATATGTTACACGTGTATACGTTTCAAGTGCAAGTTGCAGCAGATCCCGATATGCTCATGTTTTGCGGATGCTAACGATGATACGCAAAACCACACACGCATACGATACAGACAAGTAGATACGAAGTCAGAAGCGGAGTCCAGAATGATGTCGACGAATGAGTTTCAGTTTCGAGAATTCAGTTTATTGATTCAACCAGAATTGCAAGCTACTGATCACGAAAATGTCTTAAGAAGTTGCGATAGAGAGCATTTTTATTCGATTTGAGAATTAGATTCGGAATTAGATTAGGAAATTAAGATGAACATTTCAATTGAAGAAGCAAAGAAAAAAATTGTTCAATAAAACTTATATTTTTTCAAGTATACACTTAATAAAGTCATAGTAGATAAAATAAATTAATATCCTGATGGAAAAATGGAATTATTTCATGTTTTGGAACACTTTTCAGCAAAATTTCAGCAATTTCGCTGAAATGTTCCAAAACGTAAAATAATTTCAGTGAAATTTTTTCACCAGGGTATTATTTAAATTAGTATGTGTTTTAGTGTTTGATTATATTAGAAAGTTTAAATTACTGAAATTAAGCAGAGGAGAGAATTTCTCCGTAAAAGAAATTAATTCTATCTCAGCTAAATTGTGCTTCAGTGTGTGTTATATTCTGTACAAGTATATCTGCAATTATTGGTTTTCGGAGAATAAAACGCCACAGAAAAGAATGTTTTGATGATGTCTATCATAGAGAGCAAACACATGGGGAGTGGACATATTTGAGACAGTCTTTCCTCTCGTGTTTATAAGAATTTTTAGTAAAGAATGCATTATTTGCGATTGCGATGACCTCTTATCTCAATGCTGACTCGATGCACAGCATCACCGAGCCTGAGATTGCTCTCAGAGATTAATTCGGATAAATCTATCTCGTTGTTACTGAATGGTGTTAGTTCTCGAACGCCTTATAGCATTTCCAACAATTCATATATTCGCAGGTCCTGTTCGAACTGGAATAACGGACAATTGACAAAATCTTGCTTTGTCCCTTTATCCAATACTTTACGAAGTTCCCAAGATGCTTCTTCAGTCGTCAGTCGTTCTATTAATTGGATAACTTTATCATTTTTTGTAGAACTATCATCACGTGGTGAATAATGTGGCAAGAGAAAGCACGTTAATATGTCGTTATCAAAATATAACGCCGCGATATTTCCGTTTATCGGTTTAGAATTTTCTGGAAAAAAAAAAACATTAAAATTAGAAATAAACAAAAATTAAATAGTGCACATAGTGCGATAAGTTGAAGTGAAACAAATGTATATAAAAGTGAAAAAAAAACATTAAACATAAAATAAAATATAAAAATGTATTAAAATTAATTTTAAAATTATATTATTAAAGTTAATATAATGAATATATAAAATGATATCGTAATGACTATTGACCACCACTGAAAATTTTACTCTCATCGAAATTTTCATAAATTTCAGCGAATTCACGAAAGCTCATTGCATGTTTACGATAATCAGTTGTCAGTTGATCCTTTAAACAAATCGCGTTTAACATCAGTAAATCAGTATTGCTATATCGACACTATGGCGGATCCTTTATTTTGCATTCTGTTATTTTATTAATGTTAATATTTATGATATTCCTAATATTATTAAAATTGAGTCCTTGTATTTTCTGATAATCAGACGTAAATAAATTGTTTGCCTTGTTACAGAGTAGGTAAGCATTATTAACACAAATTGTGCTAAAGATGTTACACATATAGGAGAATCCCTTTATCTGAAATGAAATAATTTTAATCAAAAGAAACATTGTTAATTTCATAGTTATTTGTCAAACGTCACACTGTATACATCAAAGCAAGCATAGCAACATGCATGCATGCTTATCGTTCAAGAAATTGAGCACTGTGTGATTCCATCCTTTATAGTTTGATTTAGTTATTAAATAGATCTTTTAGTATCTTGAGAATCCGAAACATAATGGTAAATCGTATATGCCCTGGTATACTTTGTATGACGATGCCAATCGCACTGAGAGAAATTACTCACCTCATAATAAAGCTGATTGATCCCAGACTGTTGTTCAATATCTTCCTTAAACATGTCATTGGGAATATAGAGAATATGTCTAAGAGAATTTTCAATATCGTTTTTTTTTGGCGGCGAAATACACACATAATAGGTTCTGATATATGAGATGCGGATTAAAGAAAACACTTTTTCTCGGCTCGATCATGATATACTTCTTTAGACTTTCAAGGGAAAATTTGATGCGAGCGTCTGTCAACATCTTAAAAAAAAACAAATGGAAATTGTCCACCAATTTAGTTCTATATACAATAAATTGTATTTCTAAAATCACATAAAACTAAGCGAAATAAGATATCACAAATAATTAATTAAAATGAAGAATCAATTGGTGAATTAAAAAACTTGTCTACACAAAGTATGTATACAGGGTGTTTCCAAATTAAATCGCAAAACTTCGGGAGCGTGTAGAGGAGTAAAAAACTAAGAAAAAAAGTCCTATAGACATATGCTCGTTTTTGCTCCGTTTCAGAGAAATCGAAAAAAAATGTTTACATTTCTTGCCATATCTAGCACCGACATATTTGATTACATTTTCCACTTTCTGTTATGAATTTGTCAGTCGCTCTTTGAAAGCCTTTAACAGTAGATGAATTTTGTCTTTTGCAATATGCCGCGTACGTATTCTAATAGTGAATATGCTGATATGGTTTTTGTATACGGTTTCTGCAACGGTAATGCTTTAAAGGCGGTGCGAGAATATGCACGACGATTTCCAAACAGAAGAGTGCCAAACCGAAGAGTGTTTATGTTGACATTTAATAGATTGCGAGAGACTGGAACATTTTCAATTCGACAAGAAAACAACCGATTTCAAGCAGCGTTA